ACTCCCGCATCCCGCACCTCTGCATTCCCGCATCCCACACCTCTGCATCCCCGCATCCCGCACCTCTGCATTCCCGCACCTCTGCACTCCCGCATCCCGCACCTCTGCATTCCCGCATCCCACACCTCTGCATCCCCGCATCCCGCACCTCTGCATTCCCGCACCTCTGCACTCCCGCATCCCGCACCTCTGCATTCCCGCATCCCACACCTCTGCATCCCCGCATCCCGCACCTCTGCATTCCCGCACCTCTGCACTCCCGCATCCCGCACCTCTGCACTCCCGCATCCCGCACCTCTGCATTCCCGCATCCCGCACCTCTGCATTTCCGCATCCCACACCTCTGCATCCCCGCATCCCGCACCTCTGCACTCCCGCAGCCCGTACCTCTGCATTCCTGCATCCCGCACCTCTGCATTCCCGTACCTCTGCACTCCCGCATCCCGCACCTCTGCACTCCCGCAGCCCGCACCTCTGCATTCCCGCATCCCGCACCTCTGCATTCCCGCAGCCCGCACCTCTGCACTCCCGCAGCCCGCACCTCTGCATTCCCGCATCCCGCACCTCTGCATTCCCGCACCTCTGCACTCCTGCATCCCGCACCTCTGCACTCCTGCATCCCGCACCTCTGCATTCCTGCATCCCGCACCTCTGCACTCCTGCATCCCGCACCTCTGCACTCCTGCATCCCGCACCTCTGCATTCCTGCATCCCGCACCTCTCCATTCCCGCATCCCGCACCTCTGCACTCCCGCATCCCACACTCCCGCACCTCTGCATTCCCGCACTCCCGCATCCCGCACTCCGCGCTCGTGTGCTCCCGCACCGCTTCGCAGTGGCCGATTCCCGTTGGCAGCTCCCGTTTCAGGCGCTGCTGGGCCGGACCGCGGGCCTGGGGCTCCAGCTCTGCTCCCATGGCTCCCACCCTCCTCCAGCCCCAGGCTGCTTCCAGGGCAAAGCCTGCCGAGACCGGGCAGGAATGTTTACAAATCCCCGCACCCATCCGCGGGGAAAGGGAAGGGTGTGCAACCTGCAGAATTTCTCCGCGCGAGTTTTAAAACCTGTGAAACCTGCGACACATAAAATCCCAGCGGTACTTTCTAGCCAAGACATGTTCACGTATCAGGAACCCAACCGACAGCTGCGCTCTTTGGTACAGAAGCTGTGGTGCAAGACCTGGGATGGGGCGTGTGGAGTCCCCGCGGTGACTCAGCAGGAGCCCTCAGACAGCCGCGCAGGGGGCACTTTCTCAGCGCCACACTGAGGTGTCCTGCAGCAGTTTAGGAGTGCCACGTATCTGCAGAGCGGGTTCAGGGTGTAGATCTGCACACGATCCGTCAATATCCACATTTCCTAAACCTGCATGTGCTGAAATTTTGTTTTATCTAATGAACCAAAGTTCATTAGACTTTGGACTATATGAACCACACGGTTACTAGAATCAAACAATTGCTGCATACAGGAATTAATTCCCATAGACAAGCAACACAGCACACAAAGAATTAGCAGTGGGAGCCTTAACCAAAGTGAGCACCACCTGTGATTGCTGACCTGACCATCAAGAGAGACTTGAAAAGTATTTTGAAAAGGCAAGCCCAGGAACAAAAATGACAGGGCAGGAAAAACACGGATATAATGGAGACACTGATTTTACAATACCTGGGCATTTTCCACACACATTCCACCTCACGGCCCAAAAGAAATGGTAAGTGCTCTTCTCTGTTCTGTATAAGACTTGTATTACTTCTCCCCTTCAAGTTTGCTCCACTGTTGCAGATGCCAGGTACCCTGTTTTTTCCCCCTCAAATTGTTTAACTGATTTACTTAGCAAAGTTAAATCCAGAGCAATTTCTTCCTGTCTATCCTTAGCAAAAAGTTTGCTCTTTCTGTGCCACATCTCAAGAAGAATTTGTATGTGGCCAGTCTGAATAAAAAATTGACCTCTCCTTGCAAGCCATCCCGCTCTTAAAAACGTAGGACACATAATTTATTAGAAATACTTAAAAATGTAGATGTAGGCAGTCAGCTCAGGTATTTCAGAGATGGTGCAAACACAGTCACCTGCCCTCAGGTTGCTCTGGGCTTTTATCCCCCAAAGTGCTGCTCCAAGTGAGCTCTAGTCCACCCAAATCCCCACAGTGACCTCATGCTAAGGTTTGTCCCCCTGCTAAACCCAAATCTGTGAAGCTCTGCAAATCTGGCCCCTTTTTTGTCTTTGAAACCTGGGACTGGATTTGAAAGTCTGATCCCTTTTTTTATTATCAGTCCTCAGGGAAATCCATTCTACTAATTTCTTTGTGGCCACACAAGGGATTCGTTTCCTTAGTGGAAAATAAAAGCAGGATTCAAGACTGTAGTTTTGTTTGGTTTCATATAATAAGTTAGTACAATGGATTTAAATGGAAGTGGAATTATATATGAAAATTTTTTATCATGCCACAAAATTTCAATTAGGGGAAATTAGCCACTTGGTTCTTTCTGATAAATTAATCATAGAGATTATCTATTAAATGTGCCACTTAACCTTTCTGGCATAAGTGCCTGAGGCAGTAGCATTCAGGCTCTCCACATTAATTTGGAAATATTAATTTCTTGGCAGCTGTCTTCCAAAATGGAATTTTCACTTGTCTTTTTTCTAAGTAGGTCATTGTGCAGCTGTTGTTAATGGAGGCTGGCATTTGTGAGATGAGAAATCCACCATTGTACCCCACTGCTCCCAGAATGGACCCCATCAATCACAGGATATCCTTCACTGAAATGCCCTTTCTCACCCCAAAGGGGGCTATCCCTCGCTGTGGCAGCCTTTGGCCTTTGGCATGGGAATGTGTTTCGGGGGTTGTTGTGCAGGAGCTGAGGCACTGCTGTGTCCATCCTGCCTGCCCTCCCTTAGGGAAGGGTTTGCCTTGACTTCACATTGTCTCTTCCATCTGCATTAGAGCTGCCTTAGAATTCTTCCTGAGGGGAACTGGTCTGACAGCTCTGAGCTGCCGAAGAAACAGCTGGTTCAACTGCTGACCCCCCAGGTCCAAATCTTCCTTCTCCCCTCTGCAGTGAATCAATTGTTCCTTTCATTGGGGACAAGGCCTCGCTGTCCCTGTAATGCTCAGCTGTCGCACAGCTGATGGAGAGACAAGCAACTCCTGCAACAGCTACAAACCTTGTCCTGTGCTCTTTAAAAATGAGAACCAGGATATATTTCACCCAGCCTGGATATAGCTCATCTGTTGTAAAATTTGCATAGTCTGCTGCAGGAACAGTTTGAACTCTAGGACTCTGAGCACTCCAGGGAAAGAAGAGAGGAAGTAAGAAAGTGCTGCTACCAAGGAAGCAGTCCAAGGAAAGAAAACATGAATGGTAGATAACTTGTGTAATTTAAGGTTAATTAAATGAGATAGAACATCTCAAAATCTTAGAATAAAGTGTTCCGAAAGGAAGTAAATGCAATTGATGTCATGTGAGCAGCAAGCACGTTAGTTATGGGTATCCAAATCAGTGTCCTAGAAAGCAGAATTGGTAGCAAGGCAGTGATGTTACAGTCACAGTTTGTCCCTACTGTGAACTAGAATCAATACATTATTGATCACCTTATTGATTACCTGAGCCTGTACATTCTTGCACAGACACAATGAGAAGCATGAGAAGAATGCTTATAGATTTGTGATGTGTCCTGCTGACTTCGGGGTTGCTTCAGGTAAATGTGAAGATCTTCAGGGTTTAGGATCTGGAGGATTTCGAGACAATTCAAACAGTGCAAGGACTATGATAAAATGAGGCAGGGAAGGAGAATCAAAATTGAGACCTGTGTCTCAATTGTAATTGAACTGGAGCTTGGACTGAGGTACAGTTGGGCAGCTGTGCTGCACAGGGCCATGGGATTCAAATGTTGTGTGACAAGGAAAAGAACATTACAAGATTCACGAGTCACAGGATCAGAGCAGTAAGAAGCTGCAGAGCTATAATGTGGTTCTGTAGTTTGGAAAGAAAGTGGAAAAGTGAGGTGTCCTGGAAAGAGAAGTTTAGTAATGAATGAGGATTTAAGAAAGGAATCATTGAAGGGCCTTTCAGCAGGGCCATGAAATCCTGAATGTGAAGAGAGTAACAGCTCAGGTACCACCCAAGTTTTTCAGTGAAAGGCAGGAATTACCAATTTTGAAATAATAAGTGGAGAAGTTGTAGCAAAATTGAGGCATTATCACCATTTAAGAAAACACCAGGAACACTGGGAGGACCTGCAAGAGAGGTGAGTGTAAGTCTGTACACGTGGCAGAGCTGTGGCTTGAAGCTGAGCAGTGGGAAGAGGTGAAGGTGCTCTGAGAACGGTGATTACTGCTAATGACAGCAGAGAAACTCAGGGAAAAATGTGGGGAAGGGATCCCTGGGTTTGGTAGGGATGTGGTAAGATTTTAATGAAATCCATTTCCCCTGATTTGAGAAAAATCAGGTGAGTCAGGAGCATTTCATGTCTGACTATGAAATGCTGTCAGCAAGGTTAACATTTTAAAAAAGGATATTTGTTCTCTCTAACAGGAGATAATTTTTAAGCCAAAGAACTTCACATCCTGGGTTACAGGTCCTGACTGTGAACACAAATGTAGGATTATTGAGGGTTTGATCCTAAAGGCCTTGAAAAGGAAGGAAAATGTGTAAAGCTGACATGTCAGTGTGCACAATGACCCAAACTTTTTCATAAAGGCTTACTGGGCACTTGTGTGCTCCTATATGGAATCAGCTCCATAGTTCCATTTTTACTTGTTGTTTCATTTTCCTGCCTTCCCTGAAGGTGTGCAGGGAACCACATCCAGTTGGGAATGACCAGGTAGATTTGGGTGGCATGAGAGAAGGGACTTTCTGTTCTAGAAATTGCCCAAACCTATGACCGACCTGGCTGAGAGTGGCCTCCAAAAATGTAAAAAAAAAAAAAAAAAGGAAAATGTATCAAGTGATTAGGATTTACTTTGTTGAAGAAAAAGGCTTTGGCCTATTACACAGTTATTTTATGTCTGAAAAGGCAAACCACAGAAACGAGTGAGGTGTGGAAAGGCCTTTGTTAAAGATCAATTATGCAATGCTTTCTGTTTTGCACAAGGAACAAGATGCTGATTTTGCAGCTTAAGAGTGGAGCTTTGATTTCCGTGATCTGAGTCAAGTTCACACTCTGTGACTCTGGTTCAGGCCCAGATCCATAAAGGGGTTTAGGTGCTTAAAACATGACTTCACTGGGATTTACTCCCCTAAGCTGCCGAGCGCAGTCTCTGGAATTTGACATGCTCCTTTCCACACCCATGTTTGAACAACAGTCTGCTTTATGCCCAAACAGCTCTGTGCCCCCGAAGGATGGCACAGCTGCTGCCCTGCCTGTGCCGGCCTGCCCAGGGCTCGGCAGGGTGAGGGGGGCAGGGGTGGGGCACACAGGACAGCAGGAATGGATGAGGGCACCCAGGGAGATGGGCAGGGATGAAGGGATGAGGGCACACAGGGAGATGGGCAGGGATGGGGCACACAGGACAGTAGGAATGGATGAGGGCACACAGAGGGAGATGGGCAGGGATGAAGGGATGAGGGCACCCAGGGAGATGGGCAGGGATGGGGCACACAGGGAGATGGGCGGGGACGAAGGGATGAGGGCACCCAGGGCGGCCCCCCTGTCCTGGAGGTGCAGCGGGTGCCCGGCGGCCCCCCCCGAGCGCTGCCCCGCAGGCCGGGCCGTGTCCGCCCCGGGGTAGCGATACCCGGGAGGGGGCAGCGTTTGTAACCGAGCCCCGCACGAGCAGGGCCCGGCACAGACCGCGGCCCCTGCGCCGCGACGGGGACTCCGCGTTCCCCCACACCGGGGGTACAACCCTGAGGGCTCCGCAGCCCCGGGGCCGCTGCGAACGCTGAGGGGGCCGGGGCAGGCGGGCGGCTGCGGTTCCAGCTCCAGCTCCAGCTCCAGCTCCAGCTCCAGCTCCAGCTCCAGCTCCAGCTCCAGCTCCAGCTCCAGCTCCTGCCGCCGCCTCGCCCTCTCACGGCCCCGCGGTCGCTCCTCCCTCCCGTCTGGCGGCCGAGGGGATCCCCCCGCGGAGGGAGGGAGTGAGGGGGCCGGGCCGGGCGGGGCCGGGCGGGGCGGGGCGGCCGCAGGAGGCCGATCAGCCGCTATAAGAGCGGAAGCGGCGGCGGCAGCTCCGCTCCCTGTGCTCGGCCAGCCAGCCCTGCCCGGCCCATCCCGCCGACATGGCGCTGTCCGCAGACCCCCAGTTCAAGAAGCTGCTGGAGTGGCACAAGGCGAACGCCTCCAAGCTGGTCCTGCGGCAGCTCTTCGAGGCCGATAAGGATCGCTTCCAGAAATTCAGGTGAGGCCCGGGCGGTGCCGCATGCGAGGCCCGGGGCCGGGGAAGGGCCGGTCGGGGCCGGGGAAGGGCCGGTCCCTGGCCGCCCTCGTTCCCCGCCGGGCTGTGCCGCGGGTCCGGGCCCCGCCGGGGTGGGAGCGGCGCGTCCTCCGGCCCCGCTCCGCCCGGGCGGGCAGTGGGGCCCGGGGGCCGGTGCCGCGGCCCCGCCTGCTCTGCCCGGAGCGGTGCCCGGGCGGCCGATGGCGGTGCGGTCCGGGCCGGTGGGCGGGGGGTGTTCCCGCAGCCCCGAGGGGCGGCCGCGCCGCCTGCCCTTGACTCATCCTTGCGGGCGGTACGTGCCGGGCAGCACAGCGCCCGCCGCTCGCACAGCCGCACTCCGCGCCCGCCGCCCGCTTAGTCACGACACGCTCCGCGACACGGCCGCCGGCCCTGCCCGGGCTGCGGGGCAGGGTCAGCCCTCCGCCATCGCTCGGACAGAAGTGCGCTGCGGCGGTGATGGAGGAGGGAGTAACAAGTGGGAGCATCGTGATAACGTTCAGCGCCTTCATCTTGTGAAGTGGCACTCGCCGTGTGCGCCGGGGCCGTGCTGAGCAGGCACGTGTGCGGTCACGTTGTGGCACTAGAGCAGCCATATGAAGTGTAATGCTATGGATGCATCCCAGACTTGAATTTTAAAGTGAGCCTGGGTGATAAAATGACCCGCCGTTCTTGAGTGCTGCGCTAAGACTTGTTGCACGCATCAGGCTTTTCATTAGTGTCCTAAGTGAAGTGATTTTTTTCCCCCCTTTTGGTCTCCTTAGAAAGTTCTTAAATTGTAATTAAACAGTTCATGTGAAGTCCTGCATACCAATATACAAGAGCTAAGATGTCCTTTGCATCGATGGAAAAGGTATGCTAAATTTTTGGAGTATTGGCTTCACCTGGCTCTTCTAACAGTGATGATGTTACAACTTCTCATGTTGTTGAAGAAATTTGTCAGTATTATCCAAATCTACCAACTCTTCACTAATAGAGCTAGTTCTGGTTTCAGTTTTTCCTTTTCTCCAGGGTTTTCTTGGTGAAATGTTCTTTACTGGAGTTATCTATTTCAAATAGCTGCCCAAATCCATGTCCTTTTGTACTTCCCATAAGTAGAGGAAACAGTTGAAGTGTTAAAGGTTTATGTCGTCTCTTGTAATCCTTTCTTGTAATTATTTCAGTCCTGTTTCCTGATAAACCTCCATGTTCTAGACTAGGAGAACTTTCTTATAGCAAAGTACAGTTGCAGAGCTGATGGCCTGTGTTGGACAGGTTTGCTTGTGTACCAATGGCCACTCTGAGCCAGCCCAGCAGGATGAGGGTAGTTAACATCTCTTCAAAACCCAAGTAGCCTGGAGGTTTTGATCCTCTGCAGTTTGCACCTCTCTCCTCATGTGCAGTTAAGCTTTATGAATATATCTGTTAGCTCTGTAGGTATTATCATAAAATCACTGACTGTCTCTCTACCTTTAGAAGGAAAAGAGAAACTTATACCCATGTGAAAGAGCTTCCTGATACTGGTTCTGGAGGAATTTCAGACCGGTGTAAATAATTTTTAATCTGAATATTGTATCTTTGAGCATAGGTATCTATTTAATTTTATTGTAAGAACCCTACACTCACTGATAGCGTCCTGCAGAATTTAGATAGAAGATCCTTTTGTTCTTTTTTCTACCTCACAACTCGTATATCCTATTTTCCTGGTTAGGAGTGTAGTCACACCTGTAAGATACATCTTTGGCTTTCTTTGCTACCCAAGGTGGTAAGGTATGCTCTGGTAGGAACAGGGGGTCTTAACAACGTGGGTTGTTCACTGGAAACTACTAGTTTTGAAGGGGTTAGAAGTGATATGATGCAGCCATCATAAAACTCAGCAGGTAGTAGAGACCTGGGTGCTGATTAAGGTAGTGCTGATGCAAATAACTATTGCAAGGTATAAAGGAATTACATTGGAATTGCAATCCTGTTGGTTGGCTTGTCCGTTATGAAGGAGCCTCCAATCTAAATGGAAAACGTGGTGGGAGATAGAATCCCCGAGGTGCTGCAGGTGAGCTGCTGCTGAAGGGCTGCAGCACTGCGGGGTGGCCGTGGCTTACGTGCCAGGGCTCGTGTCCCCCCTGGGCAGCACTGCCCTGAGCTGCTGCAGTGCAGAGGGCACAGTTGGGCAGAGAACACGGCTGAGCTGCTCTTGACATAAAGGGTGGATCCCTTGGTGTAAGGGCTTAGCAGGGGATTGCATTGGGGGCTGTGTGTTCCACCTGCTGCGTGGGAAGCTCAGTCTGGTGGCCGTTGCTTTGTTTTTGCAGGAAATGTCTTGGGTGGCACCTTTCTGCACTTGCTTCAAACGAGCAGTGACTTGAATCCAGCCACAACTTCATGGGATGTTTTGCCTTCTAGGTCTAGTGAGATTGAGTATTTTTTTTTTTAATTCATACAAGTAAAATAATGAGTTGTAGATGTAAGATATGTCAGGTAAACAAATGTAAAATGTTGATCTTTTCTTTGGGGAGTAGAACACTGGGAGAGACTATCATCTACAGTTAATTACAGAAGGAGAATTTTAGGAGTTCTACTTCTCTAAACAGAAGAAATGTTATTATACTAATGGCCTTGCTGTATCATTAGTGAAATGTGTTCAAGTCTGAGATGAGTCTGTAAATAAATTGCATCAGATTTTGAAGACTCGTTCTTATTTTTCCTCTGTACTGTATCAATGAATGGCAGTTTTGGCAGGTGAGAAATCACAGTCCTTCCTATAGCCAGCCATATTCCAGGTATCCTTGTGCTGGATGGTCTGGATTTCAGGATTACTGTTTGCAGCCCACTGAAGAGAAGGTGATTAACAGCACTGATACTAGTTTTCCCTGCTTGCCTGTGTTCTTGCTTATAAAAGAAACACGGCTCTAAGACTGTGCTTGAAGAGACCTTCCTTCCCTTAGTTAGTGCCTCCTGTATTTGAAGAGCAAAAAAGATGTTACTTTGCTTTTCCTGAAGTTAATGAAACCACCAAAATGTTTAGGCCTTGCTGTAATTCCTGTAACTCAGTTCAGCTCCATCCTTCCTCTGCAGAGTCTTGCCTGCTCTGTCACGTTATGTATGCTTGGAATAACAACTGTGCCATGGCTTGTCACTGGGAAGGCTCTTTAATGGTGACTAAAATAACAGTGCATGTTTCTGTGCTCAGGTATTGAGAAAGAAAAAGCAGGGGAGACAATGACCAAGGCAGAAACACTGAGACTCGAGATGGCTGCAGTCTCCTGTGGGGAGTGTGTGAGCAACAGGGAGAGCAAGATATGCTTTTATAGAAGGCTGAGTTAGTGACTGAACTCAGTTCCTCAGTTAGAATAAATGTACATATTTGGTTGGAAAATAGTGCAAAGCAGAAATGGGTAAAAACCCAGTGTTGTAAAGGACTAGAGGAACTGTAGAACTCACACAGGCACAAGGATACAAATACAAACAGGCTCACTTGGTTTCTACTGGACTGCCATTTCTGTGTTTCATTTCAGTTATGATATATAGATTTATATATATTTATGTGCTTGTATTCTAAACTTTTAGGCTGTAGCTTGCAGATGATTAATCGAGTAATTTGGAGACTTCCACTGGGTCAGTGAGGACTGTGAGACTAAACCATGTGCAAATGGGGTTTAATTCTGCACAGTAGTTGACAGAATGTTTCTGTACATTAAGTTGTATAGATTTTTAAATTAGGCTGTCTCAAGTCTGTATGAAAGAATGACTGACTATTTTTAAAAGGATGTGTAGGAAGACAGGTTAATTTTTCAGCAGCAGAAGATAGTGATAAGCTCCTTACTGATGATACATTAGGAAAAAGCTAATTATTGCTGGGGAATGCTGGTGGCTCAGTGAGAACAGAATGTGATTGTCCAGCTACACATCAAATAGACTTCATTGTATGTGGATTTTCACAAGCAGAAAGTGGACACTAATTCAGCGTGTTGAAAAACGTGGTCTTCAATAAAAAGAACACACTGGTAAGTCATTTTTTGAAACTTGTTGGGCAGATTGGCCACTTACATCATCTTTACTAACTCAGTGTAATTAGGGTTCCCGTTGTTGTGTAATATGTAGAGGAGCCCTGTTCAGGAAGGTGCAATTAAACAGCCTGTTGGTTTTGACAGCTTGACTCTGAACACTGACCATGGGGATATCTTACTGGATTACTCCAAGAACCTCGTTACAGAAGACGTGATGAAAATGCTGGTGGAGCTGGTAACTATTTAAATGTTGCATTAATAAACCAAATAGCTTTTTAGAAAAGTGAAGTTTTGCCTGCAGCTCACTGTTCTTGCATTGCTTACGTTCATTAGCTCTGGCTCTGAGGGACTGTGAAAGTTAAAAGGCATCTGTGTACAAATCTTGGTGCTGTTCAGATTCTTGCATTGTCACCTAGCCCCAAGCTACAAGGCCATTTTTCAATGTGCAGAGCTGTTCCTTGTGCTCTCTGAACAGATGTTTGTCAGTATAAATTCCAGCTGGCATATAGCTCTGTTATTGAGGTCTGCAGTAAAAGAGGAGATTCCTATAAAATTGCAAGAGGCGGCCATGGCTTCTATACCTGCCATTGAAACAATATTTCATATGTCATGCAGTCCTACTTTTGAGATTCATTTGCAGTTGGATCTATTTTAAGAAAGAAGTTTGTATCACTAATTTCAATTTAGTAGGGTGTCCACATTACAACCCTTCCTTCTTTAAGTATTGGTTCAGCCAAAGGCTTAGATATATAGGACTCAGATTTTTAAGAAGGGAAGAATTAGCAAAGTAGCCATAGCAAAATTACTGTTGCTGCCCTTCAGTTTAAAAAAAATAAACTCTCAGCTGGTGCAAATAATCACTAATGAATCCTGTGGCAGCGTGACAACATGGAACTGAGAAATTAATATGAATTCATTGCATCGTGGTCTTTCAGCACATGTTACTCTGTAACCTCTTGAGGAGACAAACAGCATAAAAAATACTTGCTTTAAAATGGGAGAATCAGTTCTTTTATCTAGATTCTAGCGGGTCTTTTAATCTAATGTACTTTTTGTTTTACTGTCTTGTGTTAAATGTTCATAGTCTTTGATGTAGCAGGACTAGTAGTGCATGTTGACTTCCTGCTATTTTTAAGAGGAATCTGTACTTGCATTTCTCAGGCCAAGTCAAGGGGTGTGGAAGGTGCCAGAGAGCGCATGTTCAGCGGGGAGAAGATCAACTTCACTGAGGTAAAGCTATTTCTGTCCGTGGCTCTTTGCCCTCTAGTTGTGCCTGTGTATTATGGGTCTTCATGCATCTGTGTGAGCAAAGTCTTGAAAAAAACTTACTTTAATTGCTCCTTCGAAATGCTGAGTGGCTGTAATGTTTGCTGCACTACTTACGGGAGAAATCTTTACAGCTCTTACTAAAAAACAGAAGAAAATGTGTGTGAATAATGCTACTCAGTCCTTCAATACATACCTTAAATTTTTAGAGATTTTGGTGGTATTTTTTTTCTTCTCTTCCCTCTTTTGTAGAGAGGAAGATGAGTTAGATCTTGCAAAGGGCATGGAGCAGAGTATTGCATTCCAGGTATCCCTTACATGCTTTTGCCTAATGTCAGTGTTCATAAAGCTCAGTAAAGGGCCTACAGGGTGTGGGTGAGGATTGTGTAAGACTCTGCTTTGGGCTGTGGTGCTGCTTGGCTTTGGGTACGTTTAACAGTCAAGACTATAAACAATCTTGGGAAATTTAGCCATTGTGTTTCAGTAAGAGGATGAGTACCTTCCTCTTTTTGGAGGCCTGAAGGTTGTAGTTGTGGTTAAATCTTCACTGAAACATACAGAAAGCCAACTGTACTTTTTTTCTAATATAAAAAATAGGATGAAAACTAGAAACTCAACAGTATGGTGGGTTTTATTAATCTACCTTAAAAAATTAAAGGCTATTTAGTATGTTTGAGGCAAACTCACAGAAATCAGTATTTCCTTTGACTTGACTATTAACTGCTTTAGCTGTTGCACAAGCTGTTTGCTTAAAGTAACTCAGCAGTTGGACATTGTATTGTTAGTAAATGATTCATGTTTGTTAAAAGACACAGAAACAGATAAAGTTTCACTGGAGAAATGGTTCCTCTTCCTTCTGTATTAATGCCTTCAATTTACAGGTGTAACTAATGAAAAAAGTGGGAAAAGGAAGTAGGGAAAGAGGGTGAGAAATGTTAAATCTCTCAGGAGGTTTTTCTCAGATATTGCCCTTTGCCAGCCTCGTGTAACACAAATTATGACAGGGTTAGCCCAGCTCTGACTGTGCATTATGGAGTTCTTGTCATTGGCTATGTGAGAGCAGCTGAAATCTGCTCAGAAGGATATGATTTTCCCAGAAAGCACTTAAACACAGTAGTAAACTGTTGCATTTGGTTTCTGCTGCTGCCTCCCTTTCTGCTGCTGTCTTGATAGCACTTAATGTATCAACTTCCTGCATAATGAGTCTAGTAACTTCTGTTTTCTTATCAGGGTGTTTCTTTCCAAGTCAGAAGTTGACTTAGGTTTGAATTTCTTTCTGTTTATATAGAAAATCCAGTCAGGTTGGTTTGGCTCTGTAATAGGATTATGGACAATGTGAAATTGTGGTGAGACACTAAACAGCATCTGTCAAACAGTGGGACCAAACCAAAAGCAATAAGATATAAGGGAGCTACTTAATGGCAAGAACTGACTTGTCCACTACTCTTGATCTGATTTAGAACATTTTTTAGATTTTTGTCTTAAGTATTTCAGACTTGTCTGTGTTTGGTGCTGCAGGCATTGGCTGTATGGTGTGTGCTGATGTGGAAGTTCTTTATAGTGCACCCAAGTGTGGCATTGCCAGGTGTTTGTCCCAGATGAGTTAAAACTTGCTGTTTGATATGGCACAAAGGAAGTGCTTTACAAGGTCACTTATCTGACCACTCGTCATGGGGACAGTCTTCACAGCCTGCATGATATTTGGGAAACACTTTGCTTAGCAGTAGATATCAGGTCAAATCTGACTCCTCTGAGTTAAGACAAAGCATCCTTCAAGCCTGGTAGTGAGCAGTATTTACCAAATACCATTGCATGGCTGAGTGCTGCAAAAAAATTGCCTCTGTTCACCCCAAATTTGAGTGGGTACACTTTAATTAGCAAGTGAAAGAGGCTTTTCGTATTGCAAGTCAATAACCACAAACTCAATGATTTTTGAGTTAGCATTTGGTATTTAAATCATAGCTTGGCAGTTCATATTGTCTGTGTTGTCTTTGTCTTACAATGCCTCTCATTGTAGTGAGGAACAATGAGGTAGAGCAGACTAATTTTTTAATTTGTTCATTAGTATTGACTAACTCCTTCATTCTGGATTAAAGCTGTTAAGCTCTTCAACAGGCAAACCACAGGCCTGGTTTCAGTGCTTTGACTTGTGTGCAACTGTGGAGAATTAACATAATACAGTGCATGCTAAGGTTTTTTTTTCTCATAACACAACTACCACCTACTTATCTGGTGTGCAGATATTTAGGCAACATTTACTTGTGGGCAGTGGATAGGTTAATGTGGCTATTGTATCCTTCTTTGTCAAATGTTTAAATTATTTGTCCTTTCCTATGTGAAATGGATTACTCAGGATAATTGAGAAAGTGCCAGAGAGAATAACTTTGGCTGCTTGTTATAATAGATTTTTTTAGTATTGTCATCATTAAGAAGCAATTTCATTCTTGTCCATCTTAAGCATGCCAAAATAAAGATCACTGAGTACTGACTATTGCTGAATTCTGAACCTCAATTTCTAAATGCTTTAGGGGATTTTGAGGTTTTGTTTTTTCCAAGTAAACTATTGCTTTGCATATTCTGTGCTGTTGTGAGCCCTGTGCACTGACTGTGTGAAGTGAGAGGGTGATTTGGGTAGCTGGTGATGTGTGTATGTACACACACTGAAAGCACTGCCCTACTAATCCCGGTTAATCTAAAGGATTTGGAAGTCTTGGAGATCATACTGCCCTCTGGATGAGGCAGCTGAGGCCTCTGGGTAGAACTTGGAAACAGCTTCATCTTGTTTTCCCTTGTTTCAGAACCGAGCTGTGCTTCACATTGCTCTGAGGAATCGCTCCAACAGGCCAATACTTGTGGATGGGAAGGATGTTGTTCCAGAAGTAAACAAAGTGTTGGACAAGATGAAACACTTCTGCCAGGTATGAAGTACCACCATGGCTTATTTGTCATCTTTGTTCCATATCCAGGTTCTTACAGGTGTGTTGTGAAGCACTGACTGTAGACTGGTTCACATGAGTTGTTGGCCTCTTGTTTGAGGTTTACAATAGTTCTGGCTCAGGAGTGGAGTTGGAGCTGTTTTTATTGATTTACTCTTCTCTCTCTGTTCCCAGCTCATTTTTTCTTTAATGGGCTTTCTAGATCTTGCTCTTTCAGCAGTAATCTTGTGTTTACTTTGGAAGTCTTGTAAATCATTAAGTGCCATTCAAATGTCTCTTTATTTTTTGCTAATTTTTCAACTACTTGACTTCAAGTAGAAACTGCCTCTTAACATTTGTGTAAGATCAGGAGAGAGGTAGAGGCTCCCAGCTCAGTTGCAATTTGATTGTACTCTATTTACATAGTTTCTTAAAGATCTTCTGGTTTTAGGTCCAATTCCTTTGTGATTCTATTTTGTTTGCAGTAGAAGCTCCCTGAATAGTTTAAATGTATTTTAAACATGGCTGGAGGACCTGGACCTGCTTGGTTGCTGTTGTGGGTCTTACCCAGGTGGTAGTGACCAACCTTTAACCTATGCAAAATGAGCCTGGATTATGTCCAGTTCCTAAACCACAATAACTGCCACTAATTGGTCTGAATTTGGTGGTTTCTTCAAATACTGAGAGGATTGAATGGCTGTAGAAATTCACTGATTTCTGCCCCTGTAGAGCTTTTAGCTGGTTGAGGTTTTGGTAGTGCAAAACAAGAGTTTTCCCTGGTGCCACCCTCTTGATTGCTCGATGGTGTCAGTCACCACAGCCTGTGAATATCACTTTCCATGCAGGAGTATCTTCTCTGCAAAATAAAAACCACAATAGGCAGTTTACTTGAAAAGATTAACAAAGATGCTTGTTTCAGTTGACTGACTTAGCAGGTGGGGTTTTAAGACTGTGGCAACATCATCTACAGGGTACAGGACTGTGTATATTAAAAATGGTTTTTCTGTTTGGAAAAATGAAAAGCTTAAACATCTGTAGGGAAGAAGAGCAACTCTCAGCATAACTAAGTGCTTTGTAGAAAAATTGCTTTAGAATTGGGGAGTTTACTTAGAAGGATTTATTATGCTAGAAAGATTACTTCTGTGTTTGGAAAAAATTTAATGCAGAGGTGATGGATGGGCAAAATTCAGTGCAGAGTTTGCTACTTAATGGTTGTAATTTTGTTTTAGAACTCTCAGTGAATCTTAAAGAACAAGAATAGAGCAGAAACTTGTACTGTGTGCTGTGAAGGTGCAGCCCAGAAATAAATCCTACTGCAAAGCACACATGCAGTAGAAAAGCTTTTTGAATGTTTGATTTGCCAGTAAATCTCTATTTCAGTGGTTTTATTAATATTGGTGTCTTCCAGTTTAGTTAGTAAAGTTGATTCCAATCAAAGACACTTAAAGAACTGCTTCAGGTTCAAATCTTTGTTGCAAATAGTGTAATTCCCAAGATCTTTTCATTTTTATCTATATTTCTCTTGCCTTTGCCAACACTAAATGCTACAGCAGTCCACCCAGGAGGAGAGTTCTATCTTGCAGTGTGTTTTTAAATGTGTATTAGACTTGCAGCACTTAGTGAAGTGTAATCTCAGACAGAAGCAAATGTCTGCCTAAGAAGATAGCTCTGAGTGGAGGCCTGAAGGTCCAGAAGCCTGAAAGTTGTCTTGGGAGACTTCCTACAGCAGTGCCTGCAAACACAGCCTATTGCCAGGGTTAGAATCACTGGCTTTAGTGTGCGTGTAACATCTCATTGCAATGTTTCCTGCCCCAGAGAGTCCGCAGTGGGGAATGGAAAGGCTACTCTGGGAAGACAATCACTGACGTGGTCAACGTTGGCATCGGTGGCTCTGACTTGGTAAGCTCCTGACTTCTGTGCCCCTGCACGTCTTTGTGTGGGTATGTGCCTACAGTGACAATAAAATCTGACTATGGCTTCTGTCCAGGGTCCTCTGATGGTAACTGAAGCCCTGAAACCCTATTCCAAGGGAGGCCCTCGTGTCTGGTTTGTATCCAACATTGATGGGACTCATATAGCCAAAACCCTGGCTGAGCTCAAACCAGACACCACTCTCTTCATCATTGCATCAAAGGTATGTCTGATACAAGCACTGGGCTGTGACTTGCTCTACCTGTGAAGAATTCAGTCAGAACAGAAGTCTGTCCACAGGGAGATCTAGATCAGGGACTTCTAACAGGGATTATTTCTAAATGGGCCTGTTGGGATTCATTCTAAATTTGCAGTCCAGGCTTACGTTGCCACTGAAATACTTGGGGATTCATAAATCAAGAGCTGAAAATTACTTAACCTAAACCAGATACATGAACAATTTCAGGTTGTCTGGGGTGTATTTCTCAATCAATGCAAGTTTAAGTTTTATTCACAACAGTTTGTTTGTGCTTCTCTGTGGGTGGAGTGTAGGATCCTATGTAGTTATTTCTTTGAAATTCCAGATCTTGTCTCATTCCTAAAGGTCCTGTATGTTAAGTGTTCTGACTTTTTGCATTAGTGAATTGCATGTAGTTTAAGACTCTCCATTTTGTTTTAGGATAGTAACAAAATACCTTCACCTAAATCACTTAAATGCCAAGTTCCTTGAGCACTATAAATACTAAGCTGCTTTACTTAGAAAGTACCAGCAGACTGTCTTTACCTCTTTAAGGTGACACTTATTTCTGATTACAGACTGAATAGCTGCCTTTAAGTCTTGCCTTGCTAATAACTGACTCTAACCATAATTGGCAGTTCCATCTTCCTCTGAGGAATGGTTCTGTCTGAGCAGAGGGAAGGGATGGAGGCAAACTCTGGAGTTATGTAACTTGGGTTGCCTTCATTTGTAAAGCACAGTAGAACCTTTCTGCTGTTGAAGACAATCTGCAGCAAATGAACATGTGCAGTGCTGGCCTTGGTGCTCATTATCTAATCTTGGCAATGCTGCAGCTGAGCAACAACTTATGGAATAACAAGGAAACTGCACAAAGTAATACTAATGGTTACTTGCAATAATTGAGTCCAGGGATCACGGTTCAAAGGCTTAGAAAACTGCCAGATTGAAAGAGTAACACTTCAGTTTCTGTTTGCCAGACTGTAGTTAGATAATTGGATACATTTGGAAGAGGATGAATGGCATTTTTTTTCCATAACAGGCTTGTGTTTCATAATGAAATATTTCTGGAGATGGATGAGAGTAGGTTGAATCTAGTGTTCACCCTTAAAGCTAAATTTTGATGGCTGAGTAAATCAGAATGGTTGTAGATATTTGCAAAACTGCATGACTGAACTTCTGTGCACACTTCATGAAGCAGGAAAATGTTTTCCTCTAATCAGCAAAACAAAGTTATGGATAGAATCTTAGCAGAAATGAGTGTTCCTCCATGAAAAAGTAGGAATTGAAGACAAGAGGACAGTCCAACTGGGTTATCCCATTTTGATGCTTAATTAGTTCCTTTTTAGTTGAGTGGTAAAAGTTTGTTTTTAGTAAAAGACTAAAGTAGAAAACTTAGTCTCAAAGTTTTGCAGAACAGTTAGAGGGGTGGGAAGGTAGGAAATCGGGAATAGTTGTTCCAGTTCCAGATACATGCTAGTTTAAAACTAGGTGGGTAAATCTAGCAGCACTAGTGTTCACTGGATTAAAGAGTTTGCTTTTTTGTGCAGTCTGGCAGCAGCTGTGTGTTAGCACGTCTGGCTCTGGTTGTCTGGAACATCTGCTGCTTTAGCAACCTCAAGTTGTTTGTTTTAAGAAGTGTTTTACTCATCTCCTTGTTTTTGCTGTGCAGACTTTCACCACCCAAGAGACCATCACCAATGCAGAGACAGCCAAAGAGTGGTTCCTGCGAGCTGCTAACGATGTAAGTGGGGCTGTTTGGGGGCACCTGACAATGCAGCAGCTTTGGGTTGTGTGGCTCCTCCCTGCTCCTTCTGTGTGCTTTGGAGCAGAGCCAGTGACTGCCCAAACATAAGCTCAGCAAATGCTGTACTTAGATCACTTCAGGGCTTTGTTGGTGACACAGTGTTTGTCCAATCAAAGTGATAAACTCACTAGTTTTTCATTATAAATGGTTGTCATGCATTGTTCCCCCAAATCCTCCCTGCTAAGTAATAGAGTGCAGTGTTTGCCTTGGAGCTGGCCAGTACTGTGGTACAACTACTAATATATGAAAATCCAGGAATACAGTGTCTGTGGCATTACCTTTTCATTCCTGGCAAATCCTTGAAAACTAGAAATGAAGCTATGGTTGGAGTGATACTCTGACATTTCTGTGGCAGATGGCTGTGCTATGAATAGAAACCTTGTATTTGGCTCATGCTCTCCTATTTCTAACTCTTACAAGGAAAAAAGCAGATACTGCCTCTTCAGGTAATTAAGATGGTCTTTAACCTGTTCAGTCAGGGTAGCTGTACTTAGTTTGAAAGCTGGGCTTTGAAATTCCTCATTGCACTACTGTTGCAAACAACTTTGCTCACCAGAACTGAAGGACCAAAGTCTAAATCTGGAGCTTGAGGTTTATCAGTAGTTCCAGTTGATCGTTTGACCCTGGCTGGAAGGGTTGTGCCTGTGCAGCCAACTCCATGTGCTGTGAAGTGCTGGTGGTGGTGTCCAGCTGATAACTGCTCTGAGGGCACTGGTGTGCTGCTCTCCAGAGGGACTGATGGGAATGGGATCTTTGGGCATGCTGCCAAATCCCACAGTCAATGTGAATTACGTGATTTCAAGTTTGTAACACAAAAAAACCTGGTGATAATCAACAGTATTCTGTGTAAATGGTAGCAGAACAGCTTTATAACCAGAAATTAAAATAATTAGTATTTTAGATCTAACTATATTTTTATCTTTATTAAGCCTTCAGCTGTGGCCAAGCATTTTGTTGCCTTGTCTACCAATGCTGTAAGTATAACCAGTCAAGTTTATTTTTTCTATGTACCTTTGAGATGGCCTCACTTGATAATCTAGTAAGGAAGGCTATCTTTTAAGATACTTGAATACCAAATTTTAGCATTCCTCTTGAGAGGAAGCCTTTTCTCTACTGAAAGTAACTGAAACACTTCTAGAAATTGAACTTCCATTATGGAATGAATGTGTGCTTTTTCTGCTAGAGTTTTAAATCTGAAATCAAGAGCTTTTATACTTGAAATGACTTGTTATTAATGAGTGTTACCTGTAATTGCTTCAGTATGTGTGACTGCAGTTATGTAAACAAATATTAGTCTAAACTCCAAGCGAGGGCTGAAGTGGCACAGGTAATTTGAATAGTGCTCCTGATGAACATGATGTACCCTGATGTGGTGTTCTCTGCAAATGTATGAAGTGGAGAGACCAATTAAGGAAGAACTGTGCCATCATTGGCAGCCTGTCAGGTGCTGTGATGGGAAATTCATTTCTTCCATTAGGGTTCTGTTAGTTGTAAAGTGAATGTCAGTCCAACTCTGAACTATATGGCCACTTATATTCATCAGAAAATGAATGTATGTCATTGATTTTTAATAGTGAATAATGATAGATATCTCTGGAAATGAAGATATATTTTTGTGATGGATGCTATGCACTTTTTAAAATAGAGGATGTAGTTGTGGAATTATGTATTTCATAGGTACCCAACTTGTGTTTGCTTGCTGCATATAAAGCTTTTTAATACTGTTGGTTTTACTTACGGTGTTCTTACGTGCTTTTTTGGCTTTTTTGTTTTAGCCTAAAGTTAAAGACTTTGGAATTGACCCAGAGAACATGTTTGAGTTTTGGGATGTAAGTAAATGTCTAATGTTATGTGATAGATGTTAACTGTTAGCATTTTCTGAAGCAGGTAAAGTGATTCCAACTAGATGTCTGGAAACTGCCAAAGCACCTAAATTATAGTAGTTGTATTCAGTGCACTGAAACACCTGAAAACTCTTAACGAAAGGCAAATTGGGAATGTGTCAGGCAAGCAAAACTCTTGGCCATGACGTTAAAATCCTGCGGTCAGAGGTCTGCAGAGGAGCCTTCTGTGTTCTTGGCTGTCCAGTCAGCTGTGGAGTAACAGGAGCTCCAAGTCTTGGCTTATTCCTCCATGCAAGCAGTTATTATAAGCTGTGACATTTGACTGTTGGTGTGTGCAGTGTATAAGCTAGGGCTATAAAGGTCAGACATCAGAAATGGGAGCCTACTTTGGTATTTTGTAGCAGATGCATCTTGAAAGTATACTGCCCTTAGTCTTGTCATTATACTTAGAAACAAGTTGGTTTTCCTGACAAAGTAGGTTTCAAAGGTGCTGTCTGGAAGTGTCCTAGAATGTTACCTTTCCCCAGCTAGGCTCAGAGTCCTGCTGAAGCAGGCTTTACCTAGAGAAGGGTGATATTATGAAAGCAGTTAATATAAGCTGCAAACTTAGGATTTGGATGTGAACCAGAATCAAGGGATCTGGCTCAACACATATGATATAAACTGGACAGTAGGATAACTTCAGACTTTCAAAAAATGCATACCCAAGGGTAACCTTAGGGGGCTACCCTGAGGTGCAGGTTCCCTTGACTGTGCCATAGAACGTGTAGTCAACTGTAACCAGAAAGAATATTGATTTTTGCTGATGTCTAAACACATGCTGCTGTTTTGTAATAGTTTGAATAAGTTTGAATGTCAAAGCTTTGCACTTGTCCATCTAAACCAATCTCTTGTTTGCAGTGGGTTGGTGGCCGCTACTCTCTGTGGTCTGCCATTGGTCTCTCCATCGCCCTGCATATTGGTAGGTACTCCTGGGAGCTCACCCTGCCAAGAATTAGTCTGTTTGCTTCAGGAATATAACTGTGGAATGCTTTAATAATAGTGGATTGTGGATCAGGTTTGGGGTGAATATTATTTACCCAGCCTACTCTGAGTAGTTGGATATTTGTGCTAAAAAAGTCTGTAATGCAATGGAAATGTCAGTATTTTAGTACTGCAAATGCAGCTTTGGAAAGCACCCATATTTGGGTACAAATAATCAAGTAGCGTCTCTTTAGTCACTTGCATAGCCCAAAGTGACTGATTGGTGTAAAGCCCTGTCAGTGGTGAAAACCAGACCTTGCAACTGCCATTCCTAAGCTTGGAGTGGGGTGTTTAGTACCTGTGAATATACACCCACTAAACACCAAAATCCTGTGTCTCCAGTTCTGCATATGAGCTGTGTTCAGTATTGTTAACTATCTCCTCCTCCCACTAATTCCTTGTGTTCCAGTACTTGCTCATCCTGGCTATAGAGCCTGGTGATTACATTTGTTCCCTCATCACTGCTTTCAAATATTTAAAGCCTGAAACTATAATGTCATTTGTTTTTCTAAAAAAAAGCTAGAATTCCCTTTGACTGGGGTTAAAAGAATAACAGTGGGTTTGGTGGTTTTGGAATTATATGAATAGGAGTTGTCATGTGTAGAAAAACTTATGATAAGAGCAAAATAAACCAGTCAGGCACTGACTGTTTTGTCTGCAATAACTGTTCATTGCTGCTGTCAGACAGATTTGGTGCTGACTGCTGACATGCTGGTCTATCTGCACTTCTTCCTTAGACCCTTCATCTCCCACAGCTGCCTTCTGACCATAGGTAGAGCTGCTGCTTTGATTGCCAAACACTTCACGTAATTCCTACAAAAGAATCAGGATTTCTGTCTTTGCAGGAAAGGAAGCTAAAGTTAGTTAAACTATTCCTGAATGAAAGCAAATAGAGGTTTAAATACCCTAATTATAAAGCAAAGAAAACTCAGGTGAATTGTTGAAAGAACAGGGAAGGGAAGGGGGGAGCCTTTTTCTTTGACAATCTTATTAGAGCTGTTTCTCCTCAGACTGACATGCAAATCCCTGTTTTGAAATACCAGCCTTGCCCTGTTTTCTTGGGGGATATCTGTCCCACTGAGGCTGTGAAGTGACTAAATGTTCAAACTTGATGAAAACTATATAGCCTTAAAGCAGGCTCTGTATTAAATGCCTCTGTTTTCCTTCTAGTTGTTCATTCTGTCTGAATGGGGATTTTAGGCAAAGGTTTTTTGAATTATGTTTCATGAAGTTGGACTTCCTCTGAAGTTCAGGCTTAAAGCATAAGTAAATGCCTGGCTTAGGGAATGCAAATGTCAGGAGAAGTCAAAGTACCCTTTAAATTAAGTACAAAAAGTACAGCGATTAGTAGTTGGGAGTCTTGCTGCATACAGGGAATCAAAACTGTTTTACAATTGTCTCTATAAGAAAAATCAAGTTTGAGTTGTAATAGTAAATACAAACTGACTCTTTTCATTGTTAGGTTTTGACAACTTTGAGAATCTGCTTGCAGGAGCCCACTGGATGGTGAGTGTGGAATCCCTGTTCCAGATTTGTTCCTCTTTAAGAGTTGTTAGGAAGGTAACTGAGGGCAGGGTGGTTTCTAAGGTTCAACTCCTTAGGTCCTCTCAGTGCTCCTAAAACAGCAGTGCTTGAGAAGCTGTCCCTGAATGAAAGCAACAATCAAAACAATATAAGAGTTGGGAGGGGCGACAATTGCTTTGTCAGAAGTGTTAGTTTTCCCTTGTGTCCTGCAGGATAATCACTTCCACACTGCCCCCCTGGAGAAGAACGCGCCTGTTCTGTTGGCCATGCTGGGGGTGTGGTACATCAACTGCTACGGCTGCGAGACCCACGCCCTGCTGCCCTACGACCAGTACATGCACCGCTTCGCTGCCTACTTCCAGCAGGTGGGAGTGCTCCAGAGGAACACGGGGACAAGCCTCTGTCCTGGCTCTAGGACCTGACTGCATGTGCTGGTTAAAACTGCAGTCCCTTAAATTCATGTACTCAATGGCCTGAAGAGACTGATGCCAAGATTGATTTTGATATCAGCTTATTCGCTCGGTTACTTTAAAGACGTTTTCCACATACCTCCATTGCCTTGGTGTCCATAAATTAAGCAACTGTATCCCTGATACTTGGAAAATTTCTCTAGTGAAGCGGTGTTCCTTATAGCTGAAGTATGTGTGGAAACTTGCTCTGCTTCTGAGTGATACCAGCCTTCCTTTCTTTTAGGGTGACATGGAGTCTAATGGCAAGTACATCACCAAGAAGGGCTCTCGTGTGGACTACAACACTGGCCCCATAGTGTGGGGGGAGCCTGGCACCAATGGGCAGCATGCTTTTTACCAGCTCATCCACCAAGGTAAGCTGACACCAGGCAGTGCTGCATCCTGGAATTCAATTCTGAATGGCTGCAAAGCTGCAGGAGTCTGCAGAGTCAGCACTGGTTTGGAGGTTGGCTCTTACCTAACCTAGCCTTGCAGTGCTGTGGGGCTCCTAATTAGTGGCTTTTGGAGGCTACAAGATGCAGGTTTTACCTACAATAAGGAGGGTCAAATAAAGCTGAAACTACTGAGCTGTGTTGTTACTTTCCCCTGATGTTAATAATAAAAAAGCTCTTTTATAGAACTTTTAGAAGTGACTGAATCTGCCAGTAACTCTGTAAATGGGGTGAGAATTGAAGATTTTTCTAGGACTTTCCTGTTGCAGGGTTATTAACCTGGCTTTTCTTACAGGAACTCGCATGATTCCCTGTGATTTTCTGATCCCAGTCCAGACTCAGCACCCCATCAGGAATGGCTTGCATCACAAGGTAAGTTCTTTGTCAGGGCACCCATATTTCTTATGGCTGAAGGGATTGAGGCTTATTTGGTATTGCAGTGTGCAATATTTCTAAATGTCCCTTTTAAACTCTCCACGTGGGCTCTGTCAACATTCACAATAGATTTGAAAATATCTAAATCATAATTGCATGTGATCTGTAATAGGTAATACAGTGGTGTGTTTGTTCTTGAAGAAATTACAGCCACAGTTCTTGAGGCAGCTCAGTGGTGTGTCCTGTGGGCCAACTGAAGCTGGAAAGAGTTGAGCAATTAAGTATTTGGAGGGAAAATTCTTTGTAGGAGTTGCAAGGAGTGTAATTCTTGCCGAGTAGGAGGAAGTAAACTCAGACGTGATGTGACAGCATCTCTGAGGAAGTTTTCAAGTCTTAAACTCTACTAGGATAAAAATTCATCAGTGTAATAGCATGGCTGGGGTCGTGGCTTCTACAAAGATGTTTTTAACCTGTAAAATTTTTAGTTTAATGTATTGTCTAACTAAGGATTTCCACTGAACTAAGGATTTTATTGAACTTCCATAGGTGGAAACACGTCCAGGTCTACCACTTAATACATACTTCAAAAAAAGCATGTTTCCTCACTAAATCTTAGTCTCATCATGATTTCAGATTACACAATTGGAATGGCACTTGTAATAGTAATTTTTGGTCAAGTAACACCTAGTACAGTGGAAGTTTGAGTATGACTTTGCAAAGGAAGGGGAGTAAAGGTTTCATTTGTCTGTAGATACAGTAAGAGTTTATCTTTGGTGTAAACACACGTGAATTTGCAGGCTAACATTAGAGAGGGAATAGGAAACTAGAAACTTGTACTGCCTTGGTAGGGATTGGTATGTGAGATGCTGTGGGGATTTTCCTGCCTACAGATGAGTAAGTGCATCTTAGTTGGTTAGCTGTGACTAATCTTTGCACCTGGATTTCCAGAACATGGAATAAAAGCATAGACTATCCTGGGTGAAAGGGCTGGGTGAGGTCCTGGCTCCTCTGTTCTCGGTGGGAGATTCGCTGCCGGTTTTGGCAGGGGCAGGATTCTGCAAAGCTTGTCCTGGTTGTCTTTGGATGCCCTTTAAAACAGTAATTAAGTCTCCTGGCACTCTGAAGTAAAAAGCAATAGTGGGCATCATGCAGCTAAAACTGCTACAGTGTTAACAACAAGACTTGTAAGTCCAGACTGGGTCTTGGTGTGGATTGGAGCACCAGGTACCACTACTCCAGCTGAGGGAATGGAAACCTGAGCTGTGTTTGTGTGCACCTGCTAGATCCTGCTGGCCAACTTCCTCGCTCAGACGGAGGCCTTGATGAAAGGGAAGACTGCGGAGGAGGCTCGGAAGGAGCTGCAGGGGGCCGGGCTGAGCGGGGAGGCTCTGGAGAAGCTCCTACCCCACAAGGTACCTGGGCCCTGGCCCGTGGGGGCACTGCAGCAGCCAGCAGGGGTGGCACAGGGGGCACCTCGGCAGGGCACTCAGAGCAGGTATAAGGAGCACTTGTGCTAAAGCTCCCTGTTCTGGAGCCTTTGGGGGCATTTCAGGAGGGATGAGCCATCTCAGCACTGCCCCTGGGTTATTGCCTTGTTTTACTTCTTGTAGCCCACAGCAGCCAGCAGTGCTGCTCAGAGAGAAGTTTGCTGTTGAGTTTGTAATAATAACACATGGAAGTGATACAATTTTCTGGCTGAAGGTGGTAGTCCTCAGAGCTTTCAGGACTTTGGGTTTACTGCTAATGCAAATAGTTCACTGAGGACTGGGAGAAAAATATAAGTGATATAAGTTTTACAATATATTAGATGACAATGTAACTCTTGTTTTGAAAGGTCTTTGAGGGAAATCGACCAACCAATTCCATCATGTTTACAAAACTCAACCCGTTCACTCTGGGAGCCATCATTGGTGAGTAAATAGGTCTCTCATCTGCGAATGTTTATTAAGACTTTCTGATCAAGTTTATTGATAAATCTCTTTCTGCTTACAGCCATGTATGAGCACAAGATATTTGTTCAAGGAGTTGTCTGGGATATTAACAGTTATGACCAGTGGGGGTAAGTTTCCTTGTCCTGTTACTTGCATATTTGTTGACTGATATTTCTTAATCTATCCTGACTTAGAGAAAAGACAATAAAAAAAGTATCGTACTTGGAACAAATTATTATAGGATAGTTTTAAGGGAAAACGTTTTCTGGGGATAAGTCACTGTGTGTCCTTACTCAGTCGTGCATAGTGACTTTGCAGATACAATTTTAGCTAAGGACCTGTGCTTAGTTGGATTTAGAAGAATACTATGAAGCAGAAAAGGGGCAGTAGTGAGGAAGGTAGTCAAGCAGGCTTAACACATGCTCTGAGAATTAGAAAGGAACAATATTTTCCCTTATAGAAAGTGAAAAAGAGTTATTTTACTTCTAGAAACATTTAGTAGGCAGTTTGAATAGCATCTGTTAAGCCAAAGACTGCCCACCTCTGAGTTTTCCTATGTGGAGAGACAAGAACATTCCTGGCAGAGGTCTGCATCTGTGACTGAGGGTTGTGGAGCTCCATGTGCACAACAGCATCTTTCAGGAGTTTGTCATTGGAATGGACAAACTCCTCACAATGGAAGATTTAATCAGGAGCTAATCAGATTGTTTTTAATGTGCAGTAATAGGAACTGTACAACATACCGTATGAAGGCTTAGGTAGAGGGATTGGGGAAAAGGTAAGATTTTTCAGGTGCAGCCTGCCTATGCTGTGAGGGCTTATTTTGAAGAGCACACTTGCTCTACAGGTGTAGAATATCAGTTTACACTAAGCTGTCTCCTTAAAGGCTGAAGGGTAGCCTTTGTACATGTGTTCTTAGAGCTATGTTCCTTAAAATACTGTAGTATAACCTGAGAAGGGAAGACTGGCTAGTATGAGCTGTACTGCTATAAACTCTGAAACCAGGAGTGGGACAGGAGTAAGTACAGCTTATACTGCCACACATGAAAATCTAGAATGGCATCCAAAACTATGGAATGTGGGGACACTGTAGGACCAGCCTAGTTTCTTACAGCAGTTGGACTATCCCAGGTTCTTATCCTGTGAGGCTGTAACTCCTGGATAGCCCTCTGTAGTGCTGGGGATGCTTCCAGGCCTGCAACTCAGCTGCTGTTTATTGTCTCGGTGCCATAAATTGGTGTGGTGAGCAGTGTCATGGTCAGCAGTGAACTGAGAGAGAGAGCACTGGGGCAGGCTGCATAACACAAGGGAATACTGAGGGGAAAGGACTCTGCTCAACTTCAGAAACAAAACTTTCTCTTTAGACATCCTGTAATTTGAGCTGTTTGTTCAGCTAAGCAGCTGTGAGAACTCCAGTTGTTTAAGAATGGCACTGAGTTAAATACTTTCTCAGTAACTTGTGAGGGGAAAAGCATCATAGTGTTCACTGGGAAATTACTTTTACCAGCATCTATTTTTAATGTAAATGGCTTATAGTAAATACTCTGAGTTGTTAGCACTAATGTCTTTCTGCTTTTCAATTCACTAATGTTTTTCTTTCTTCTGCTGCTTTTATAAATGCAGAGTTGAGCTTGGAAAACAACTTGCCAAGAAAATTGAGCCTGAACTGGAGTCAGATGCTCCAGTGACATCTCATGATAGCTCAACAAATGGGCTCATCAACTTCATCAAGAAACACAGAGCCTGAAAGGAAATACTTGGAGGACATCGCCAATCTCACCACGGAATACCCAAATCTGTTGTAGTTGTGCTTTTTTAGCCACTTCCAACAAAAATAGCACTTTACAGATGTAGCTTCTTCACTTGTTGCAGTTAATCTTGTTGCGTCAAGTGTTACAAATGGAAACTAGTTTTGTGAAACCCTGAGATTGTCTAGTTGCTTTCTATTTTTGTGGCTGTTAATCTGTAAAGTGCAGCTGGTATATTCAATTCTTGCCCCTCAAGTTCCTTAAAGATGATCACCTACTGATATTAGAAAATAAAAGGTATGATGGATGAGTAAAACTTCTTCACTCTTTATCCTTAAAGTGCAGCCCTAGTAACATTTGCCTCCCTCACTGTGTAAGGTTCTCTGAAGCCAAGTAAACTAACTTCTCTCTCTTTGGACTGGTTCTGCTGTAAGCTGGAAACTAGAATGTGTTCAAACAATCAAATCTACAGCTGTAGGTTGTTCAGGTTACACATTTCATGCATTTGAGCAAGATAGAGATTGATTTTTTTTTTCCGAAAGCTACTGTGAAAACGAAAGTTTACTGATGTTTGGTAGAAGTGTTCATGTTTTGTCTGTAACCTATGTGGACAGCTATCCAAAAAAGAAGAAAACTGGAGCAACTGATACCAGTTTTCCAGAGTTTGTGAAGCAAAAGGTTGTGATCACTTGTGGAAGAAATGTATTTTTGGTATCCTAGAGGGGCAATTTCACATTCTTAAATCACCATCACTGTCCAACAACAACAAAAAATAGAGAAACCTGTTTGTCAACGAGTTGTTTATCCTCTTTTGTCCTCTACTACTGTTAACCCCTCTTTGCTAGTGGACTGGCATGCTCTGGCTATTGTTCTGTAACACCTTTAATAAAGGTAAGACACAAGCATTGAAAGGAAACTGTGATTCTCGTGCCCCCAACCCTTCCCGACAAATGCTGACTGCACTGAGCTGGTAACTCTCAATGCCCATCTTTGTTGCACGGCTTTGCTGGCAGGACCCCTCCAATCTCACTGATATGTCACACTAACACCTTCCTACTGTGTTATGGATTATGATCAGCTCTATCAAGCAAATTTTTCTACATAAAATGCGAGCTCAGAAAGAGAATCGACTAGAGGGGAAGCATCATGGTTTCTTTCACAGGAGGTTTTAAACCTTTCATCCCCCTGTGCACAGCTCCCTCTTTCTGCAGCGGTCGGAGCCAAGGGAGCGCCTTTGGCGTCTTCCTGCCGTGTTGTGCGGGCGGTGCCAGACCAGCCTCGCGGAGCTGAGGGAGTCGGCTCGCTGAGGGAGGTGGCTCTCTCTGAGGGAAGGAGCGGCCCTTTCTGAAGGAGGTGGCTCTCTCTGAGGGAAGGAGCGGCCCTCGCGGAGGGAGGCGGCTCTCTCTGAGGGAAGGAGCGGCCCTCGCTGAAGGAGGCGGCTCTCTCTGAGGGAAGGAGCGGCCCTCGCTGAAGGAGGCGGCTCTCNGAGCGGCCCTCGCTGAGGGAGGCGGCTCTCTCTGAGGGAAGGAGCGGCCCTCGCTGAGGGAGGCGGCTCTCTCTGAGGGAAGGAGCGGCCCTCGCGGAGGGAGGTGGCTCTCTCTGAGGGAGCCCTTCCCGCGCCGCCATTGCCGCGCGCGGGGCGCCCCCTGCCGGCGGGAGGGCGGGACCGTCCCCTCAGCGCCCTCACGGCCCGGTCCTGCCCCCGCCCGCGGGTGTCACCTCAAACTTTACCTGCAGTAGACTTTACCTGCAGTAAACTTTACTGGCGACTTACCGACTCGTTACCAAAATGCCAAAACTGTGACCTTATGGTTTACAGAGCAAAAGGCTGCCCTGTGCTGTAACGCCTCAGGGCTGTAGTCAAACACGGAATAGAAGTGGTGAAGAGCTGTTTTCCCCTGTGCAGTTGAGGGCACGACCAGAGGGGCCACAAGTAATGAGGAGGGGACTGTGGCTACGTTTTGAAGATGAAATGGCGTAAAGCCTGCATACGGTTCAGGAACCTGCTGCCAGTGACAGAGCTGGAGGCCGAGGAAACAATCTGCCTGTTCCCTGTGCCCGTCCTCACTGACAGCCCTGCGCAGGGGACAGTGACCCTGTCTGACCTGACACACACCTCCGGCTCAACAAACACAGCCAGCTGGTGGCTCAGTTCTTTGAGCTCCGGCGAGTTGGTTTAAATCCTTCTGTTTAATATCAAGCCTGTCTTGATATCAGTTCCTGCAAGAATGAAACTGATTTCTTCACGAATTGTGCTCAGATAATAATGAAGTCCAACCCAGTCAGTTCTGACTGGGAGACTGTGTTGGGCACGGCTGAGCTCTCAAACTGTGTTGTCGTATTACAGGAGAGAATGAAAGTGCCTGAAGTGAGCAAAAACTTGTCAGACCCATAAAATGGCACACAATCCCTAATCCTACCATCCCTAATCCTCAAACCAGCGCATTTGCTACAAGACGCGTTCCTCTTGAAGGCCTCTGAGGAAATACTGTGTGGAGATGCTTTAGTCAGGGTAAGTAGTTCATTTGATGGTATATGTATAAAAAAAGCAATCTTTACACTTGCAATGCTAATTTGACTCCATAACTGTAATAGCTTCTCATCATCAAAATTAATATATGAATGTATTTTAAGAGTCCTTGAGAAGATAATTATTGTATTCAAGGAAAAATTCCAACATTTTTAAAGAAAATTATGCTAAATTCATACTGTATTCCCACTGGACATGTACTTAATATAGACTGTGTGGGTTTGTGTGTAAAGGAGGAATATGTTAGCATAGTAATTGATATAAAAAAAGCATCTCCAGGAGCTATGACTGTAGTGAAGACATCTTCCAGTCCTTTTGTTTAAAGAGAATCTGGCAGGAATAATCAATAAGTGATCTCCTTTGACCCAATTCACAGTGATCTGATCTGCTGGGACTGTTCTAATTTCCAAACTATCCTGCACTACATGCAGAGTTCTGCAGACTCAGTGATGGTAACAGTGTGATCTTAGGCTGCTTGAAGGAGGATAAGAAATAAAACTTCCCAAGCTACACCAGGAGCTTCAGCTGAACCTGTTGCTGTTCTGGAGAAATGAAAAGCACTTCCAGATCTGCAGTGCTAGTGCTGAAGTGGACAGGTCATGAGTCTGCATAGAGCAGCCAAATAAAAAGAAGAAAGCTTTACCTCATTCATTCCTTTACCTTTTCTCAAGTAAAATTTTATGTTTAGCTGTTCTTGAAAATATTCTGCTTTGGCAATTCCTGCTGTTACTTTTGTTAAAAAGAATCAGAGTTTGGAGAGTTAGGTAGATGATAGCATATGATAGAGCAGTCAAGTCGAGAGCATTAAAGTTTTGCATAAATCTGTTTTTGAGAAGTTTCAGTAGGATGTTGATGAGTGTGCATCTTGTCAGCTCCTATGTAGATAAAAGTGAACCAGCTCACAGGCAATGTTAATGGAGTATTTTAGGGATTACAGGGTGTGGCAAACAGAAAGCAGTTTGGCTTCCAGAGAGAAGGGTTAAACAGCTTGGATTAATGAAAATTCAGCAGAGAAGAGCATGCTTTGGGCTGCTCTCTCAGTCAGACCTCAGTGCTAGGAACTGTACTGCTCTACCTCCTCTGAAAGAGGCTTTTCAAGTTTTCTTTAGTTTTATGGCACATGGGGATTGTCAAAATAGGTCAGATAAAAATTAGTCCTAAAGCTAAGCATTTCCAGATGGCTGGTAATGGCCAGATAATTTTTTACTGTGCTCTTAATTTTTCCTTTTTGTTCTTTCTCATACTGAGTTTTCTGACAGAAGAAAAACATAAAACCCCAATGTTCTTTTAAAACAACAATTCCCAAACCTGCTGGATGCACTTGAAATTTCGAAAAGTATACTCTCAAAAATATTTGTGGTCAAGTTGTTATAGTCACTGGATTTTACTTGATAGTGCTTTCACAAGTAGACACACATTCAAGATTTCTCTAAACTATTTTTTGAGATTTATGCAGTGTTTCCTCTAAGGAAATATTTTGAGCCTAGACCTGTGGAAACAATAAGTGCCATGTGGAGAAGGCACCCAGTGTGGCTGTCCTTGCAGTGCCTGCTGAATGGGGCAGTCCCAGGCTGTGGGGAAGGAAAGGAGCCGGGAATGGATGATCCTTGCAGAGCGTGGAAGCAGCAGCACTCAGCTGAGCTCAGAGCTCCATGTCAAGAAGTTGGCCTGAGCCCATGCATCTGGAACACTCTCAAGTATGTGGCAGTTCCTAGAAAGGCTGAGCTCTGCCTTTCATCAGCAGCAACAGCCACAAGAGACAATATCTGCTTGAAAAATCCCTCACCCAGGATAAAAGCAGAGCATATTGTTTGTTGTTGGAGAGATTCTGAGTGCTAGTGAACTGTAAAACAAAATATAATAAATCTTGAGTAGCAATTCCAACAGTTTTTTGTTGAATATTCCTGTGTGGTTTTGGACTAATTAAAACCCCCACTTTTGTCTTTGTAACTTAGTAAAGTGGGTAACCAAAGAATTTGACAAGTTCAGACCTTGAGTATGACTTGAGACAGACCAGGGCAGGAGGACAGGACAAGAGGGGCCAAAGTTTTTGCCTGCTTGCATCAGGACAAGAGGAAATGCCTCTAGTTGTGCCAGGGCACATTTAGATTGGATATTAGGAAAAATTTCTTCCCCAAAAGGATTATCAAGTATTGGAACAGGCTACCCAGGGTAGTGATGCATTCACCATCCTGGAAAGTGTTCAAAACATGTAGATGTGGTGCTTAGGGACATGGTTTGGTGGTGGATCTGGCAGTGTTAAGGGTTGGACTTGATCTTAGAGGTCTTTTCCAACCTTAATGATTCTCTGATCATCTACAGCCTCACTGGACTTTTCCACAGATAATTATCAGTGCTGATCCTCAATAGCTTTTTAACATGAATTGCATCAATTTGAGTTAGACAGGTTAAAGCACTCTATTGCCTAAGTCACGTTCAGTTCTCAGGTTATATACCTGCTACCTGTAATCACAGTGGATTTTGGGGTGACAAAGAAGTGAAAGAAAAATGGGTATGGGGACTTCACCCACTCTGATATAATAGGGTTAGGTTATGGGCCAAGGTCCACGGGTACCAGTCTGGGTCAAATCCTGATTAGTTATATTTCCCCTGGGTTGAGGCTTTACTGAGGAGACTTATTGTGTTACAATTCAAACCTAGGATTTCATAGACCAGCAAAAGTGTCTCACTGAGTTCAGTAGATGCTGGTCTGTGCCTTGGATTATTAACTGCAGTTGTGAGGGGGTTTGGGTGGCCTGAATTTATGTGGTGAAGATGTTTGGGACTGTTTCAACCTGGTGACAGATCTACCTCCCCATGGAATAAGAGTTAAAACCAAAACTCTGCACCAAGAGGTGGATGCATGTGCAAGGAACTTACAGTGTAGCCTATGGAGTCTTTCTAACCTGGGCTCATAACTCTTTCAGAGGTGAGCAGTATTCAATAATAAAAGGCACCAATTTTGTTTGAAATATGTACCTTTGGAGCTAAATTAAAGTTGTAGGAGAGGAAGGATGCTAACTACTTGACATAGAAGAGGATCTAGAGTAGTGCCCTTCCTTGCTAAAAACATTTTGCCATTGAATAAGTTTAAGCTGGAACAAAATTAATGTGGCAGTGTCCTTGAAAATTATGGTACTTTTAGGAAGAAAAAGCATATATAGATACTTAAAATAGACAAAGGGGTTTTACACACATAAAAATACAATAAACTTGTTTTCCCTTTAAGCTTCAGAGATCTTCCTTGTGGGAGATACTGACATTCCCTTCATATTGGGTGGATTTACTACAAGGAAAGCTTGAGGAAACTTAAAAGTGTCCGGTTTTGTTTAAAACCTTGGTGGTCTTTAACGGCTGCCCCACAGTTCCAGCCTGGTACAA